GTGTGAGTAATAGTGAAATTAGCAGATCAAAGTGAAAAACAAAACAAGTGCAAACGATCATAGTATGATAATCGATAAGATTGTTGTTTTGCAAATCATTATAGTTCCAATCAGTGTAACATCCCACGCGCCATCTATTACAACAGAAGCTAATCACCACGTCACACTCATCGACGTCAAGTCAAGCGCTAACTAAAACAAACACGCACCGCTAGAGGACATCACTTGCATCATAACAAACCATAACGATGGAAGAAATTTTAAACACGCTAATTTCAATAAAAAAAGAACTAGAAGAACAAAGAATTGAAATTAGAGAAACTGGAAAAAATGTTACGGAAAAAGTTACACAAAATATTACTAGTATATTCGAGGAGAAATTTTTGGCCTGGGAAGGAAAACTTGGAGAAATGAAAGAAAAAGTGGAAAATCAAGAAAAAAGAATTTATTACCTGGAAAAACAAACAAGAGTAAGAAACTTAGTATTTTTCGGTATCGAGGAAAACGAAACATCATACAAGAGTTTCGAAGAAAATATAATTAAATGGATTGAGCAATATTTCTCCATCAAACTGACCTACAGAGACATTCAGGAGATAAAAAGACTGGGAAAGAAACAAGAGAGACCACGTCCAACTGTTGTAACTTTCACTACACTAGGAATAAAAATCGAAATATTTAAACAAAAAAGAGCGCTGAAAGATACACAGTACTATATGAAAGAAGACTTTCCCAAATATGTACTTGAAAAAAGAAAGGCACTACAGGAACAACTGAAATTAGAGAGAGAAAAGGGAAATACAGCTATACTCAAATATGATAAACTAATTGTATCAAAATACCAAAGTAAAAGAAANTTCACTACACTAGGAATAAAAATCGAAATATTTAAACAAAAAAGAGCGCTGAAAGATACACAGTACTATATGAAAGAAGACTTTCCCAAATATGTACTTGAAAAAAGAAAGGCACTACAGGAACAACTGAAATTAGAGAGAGAAAAGGGAAATACAGCTATACTCAAATATGATAAACTAATTGTATCAAAATACCAAAGTAAAAGAAAATACCGGTCATCTCCAGACAATACCTCACAAATCGATATGGACAAGCATACTCAGGCTAGTAAAAAAAACAAGACAAAACAGATTGGCAAGACAGTCACTAGGTCAAATAGTATTACAGAAGGAGTCATAAAACCTAGCATGCTCAACTTCTTGGTCAACAAAAATACAATGAAAACTAACAACAACCAGGAAAGTAACAGCGAGAATATATAGCAACTAAGCCCCTCCTACTACAAAAATGCCACAATTTTACAAAATAACATATAAAAAAAAAAAAAAAAAAATTCTTCCAATCCGGTTGGTCACCGTGGAAGAATACGACCAAAACCCTCCAATGAAGTCATCAATAGAGGAAAAAATACCATAGATAAATATAAACTAAGGAATAATGGGCATCACTGGAGGAGGCCTTCACCCAATCTGGGGTTCCGGTAGATTAAATAACTACATAATATTAAGTAAACACAACTATATAATATTAACTAAACATACTAATTATATTAAAGTAAGTGATAAAAACTATATTAAAAATTATGTAATATTTAAATCCACTAATTAAAAAAAAAGAAAAAAACTAACACATAGATAGATTTTAAGTTATGTAAATTTACCAGAAATAAAAAGGCTTTATTATTATTATTATTATTAACTGTTTTCTAATATTAATTTATTTCTTACTTAAATGTTTAGAGTACAATATAATGCATCGATAAAGCTCTGATGATCGAAGTCATAATTATAATACAATACAGCTTTAACAATTGGCAATGCAACAAATGGCAGTCGATTATTGAGGATTGGACGAGCATGTATTCATTCCCAATATGTTGTACAATACCTACAAAATGTATAGTATGAAACACTTGTGGTTTACATATCAGTCATCGTTCTCGTCGAACCCGTCGCTTGCGACGAAGGGCTCGACGAGTAAATTAACCCTCAGACACAGCCCACTGAGTTTCTCGCCGGATCTTCTTAGTGGGTCGCGTTTCCGATCTGGTGGTAGATTCTGCGAAGCACGGCTCTTCCTAGGGTTCGTGTTAGCAACGTCGTCAGGTTTGAGCCCCGTGAGCTCATCTACTAGTTAAGGTTACGCTGAAATAGCCTCTCAAGGCTCTCAGCTTAGGTAGGAAAAAAAAGGTTTACATATTGTTGAACAGCGAAAAATTTATCTAATCCAAAACATTATGTGTCCTTATAAAGTGGCCATCAAACTCTTAAACAACAATTGACAAAAACGCGTACTGCATGTTTAGTAAGCAATAAAATAGTGAGAGCTGCACTCGACGGGTACGCACAATGCGGTGGCCACAGGGGCGGTCGGAAGGGTTCCGTATTGTTTGCAAAATATTATGAAAGATTCATTTTATACGGCATATTAGACAGCCACTGCGTTTGATAGTTTAGGGTCGGTCGTCTTGCTTTTAAATAAATTGTCTGATCGTTATCGTATTTCGATCGCAGTCGGGGTCAAATGATTTTAAAATTTTAATATTCACGCACTTGAACTAGTGTGATATGTTTCGTTGCATTATAATCGTTCGATGTTGGATATAGGGTTCCTACAAGATGTACAAGCACTACTACCTAGAAACATCCCCGCGCTATTACCTATATTAAAGTAGCTTGTTTGACAATACAAAGTACAGCCTACTTTCTATTTTTTTATTGCTAAGATGGATGGAAGAGCTCACGGCTCACCGGGTGTGAAGTGGAGCCCATAGACATCAAACACGTCAATTTCGCCGCTCATCTTGACTTTCAAACCGAAACGCATTGCTGATTCACGGTAGAAATAGGTAAGGTGGTGGTACCCACTCGGGCGGGCTCATAAGACGTCCCACCACTAGTGGGTTTTGAAGGGAGAAAAAGGTAATGTGAAAATAGGTAACATTGAGTCAGATCTGATAACTGCGCTCACTGGACTCTCTGTTGCGACCACCCTGAGAGAAGTCGAAAACCGAAGGAAATGGAAGCTGATGGTACAAAGAGCCATGAAGGACTCTCAGGGACACGACCTTCAGCAATGAAGTATGCGACTAAGAAGAAGAAGAAGAAGAGTGCCATTCTATAGACAATTGTTGCGACGTACCATACAGGTCTGCCTCAAATGAGGTGTTGTAAATATCCTGAACTTTATAGGTGGTGGTTTGGCTGTACCTCTGTCATTGCTGATATTACACACGTGCAGCGGTGAACACACACACACACACACACACACCACATGGGGGTCGTAAGCTCGTCTGCTCTAGCCCGTGTTGTAGTTACTTAACTTTATTTTTCTGTTTTGAAGGCTTTCTTACACTCAGATAATCATTGAATGACTTGTCCACTTTTTAAGTAGGCCTATTATCGAGCTGAAATAATAACATTGAAAAAAAAACAGTCACAAAAACAAGCGGTACTTATGAAATAGAATCCTCCACGAGATCTTAAATGCATATTTATTATTATTAATATTTAGTCTTTGTGACGAAGAACCTCTAAATATATTTTACATGTAAATATATTTCGGAGTATACTCTTCATATAAGTTTACTGATAATTGATTCATCTCTAAAGTTATAATTTATGAGCAACGCGTCTGCTACTGATCCAAAAAGTATCACTTTACATTCTCAATAAAAATATCGTTTTCATGCAGCGCGTTCCCAATGGATGGCAATTTGTTATTGTTTACAGCTTCCCTTATAGAAGACACTATCACTATCACTTATAATAAAATTAAGAATATATCATTATTGTTTAGAACTTGAAGTTAATATCAACATAAGATATTAGTGTCCTCAAATTTTGATATTTTATTAACACCAGGAATCTGTTTAACTTATTAAAATGAAAAAGGTATTTCGTTATAACGTTACGTTCCTCATTAACTCAATAATGATTTAATGATCAGAGAGTAAGCTTTCTAAGGATCGCTTGACAAAGCCTTAAGGTTTAAATTTATAGCACCCATAAAACAATTCTTCAAAGTTCCCCACAAAAAGGTTAGTTCTATTCAAAGCCCGTATGAGATAATAGCGGACAGGGGCACAGGACAAAAGTCTGAACGCAACGCCAAACAGTATCCGTTTGAAAAAAAAAAGTATAAAACCATCTGGCCATATTCTTGAACGCCGGACCATACAAATTCCTGGTCGATTCCCTTAAAAATCGATATTTAAACTTAAGTACCAATACTTTATCAATAACAATAGTGTGGTGTGCGACAGAGACAAGCGCGCGGGGAACGGCCTGGACATTTTAATTTACGATCTAATTTTTTTTTAACGCACCCAGTTCAGATGAATCTTCTGACTTTTATAATGAATTGAAAAATGACGTTCCGACTTGAAGTTTTTGTCCTTACTTACCGAGAAACGGACTTCACAAGTCGACATTGGACATTTATAGAACGCCCGTTAGCTCTGTTGTTTGTATTCGGGATCGAGTTACAAGGATATCCTTACATAATAGTTTGTTGGATCCGATGTCATTGTGTCGGTTTAGTTGTTGTTGAGGTGCGCACTGATACAGTGACTGCCAGGTCCAGCGGAGCAGTAGGGGGCATTTCATTACGAATTAACTACGTCCAAATGATTTGCTGTGCAAATATTGATCGAACCATTCATTTTACGCAAATAAGATATTTTAGTTATAATGCGGTTTTTTTTTAATAATTTTTTTTACATACTAGCTGTACCCGTCTGCTTCGCTGGGCATTTAAAATTAACATTATTATCTCACCCCCACAAAGATTCTCATCATTAACGCCCCCGCAACTGGTGTAAGGAGTCCGACATTCATATAAATATTAGCCTATCCATTAAGTACATATATTTTCTACATGGACACCAAGTTTCAAGTCAATCGGATGCATGGTTCAGTAGTTATAACAGAACATCCGTAAAAACCACTGTAGATTTATATATTAAGTATACATTTACTTACCAGTATGCGTTCTTTTGTGTATTTTAAGATTCTCCGATCTTGCAAAAACTTTCCCGCAGCCGGGGAAAGGGCAAGGGAATGGCTTCTCTCCTGTGTGAACCCGGATGTGATTCACCAATTTGTATTTCGCCTTGAACGGCCTGCCGTTTCGTGAGCAGCCCTGCCAGAAGCACGCGTGAGTCGTGCACTCAGGTCCACCGACGTGCTCCACGGTTAAATGCGTCACGATTTCGTGCATACTTGAAAATAGTTTATTACACAATTTACGCGGGGGCGGCTGCTCCGGGTCGAGCCACTGGCAACGCATATCACGTCGTGGCGGCGCTCGGACGTATCGTAGGAAGGCATGCGGCGCATGAGGGTGGGCGTGAGGCACGATGGGAGGAGCGCCACTCTGGTAGTGCATGTCACCACGCCAATCCCAGCTTTGTTCGAGAGGCTGCTGCGGGAATAGTTCGCCGCATCCACTGTAATCCCGCAAGTACCCTGGTTGGTACGAGTGCAAGGGGTACGGCTGGTAGTGGGCCGGATGGTGAGGAGGCGGTGGATGCGGCGCCACGGCACGGTGTTGGGGATCGACGCCGCATGCCGGCTGGGGCGACATCTTCAACCCATACGAGGCGAGGTGGGCGTGATTGGTCTCGAGGAACGCATTCATGGCAGGGGTGGCCGACGCCGGCGCATAGCCCCATTCGCCCGCCACCATCCACGCGGCGGGTAATCCCCGCGAATGACAGCGCCGTGGAGTATCTAAGTTTTGATGATGACCGCAGCCACTGGCGACGGTCCGGCTACTTCGAGGCTTTTTTTAATTTCGTTGCTTTTCTTTTCATTACTACTGTTGAAATAGCTCGAGGTCGTGGTCCTAGAAAAAAAAAACAACAAGAATTAGGAGATGTCTCTAATAATTTTCCAAATTAAAAAAAACGGAATCCAACCGAATCATTACTACCTTTCGAGACAAATTCAAAACCATTTCTCAAAATAATACCATATATTCATGCGGCTATAACCCGCAACGAAACATTTTATTTATAATAAAAAAAATTGAGCCAGGTACTTTTGGACATTAAATTAAACTGTGGGTAAATTTATAGGACATTTTTATACGCCTGAGACAAAAATTTCGATTGTAGTAGTGTATACTTAATTTTAGTTTATTTGTTAGATTGGTTCCAATCTTTTTACGGTCGAGGTTTAGCATCGGTATCTTATTAAAATACTTTTACGAATGATAAAAACCTGTTTTAATTTGATTCGTAGATAACAGGGAAGGATTCTTCACCTGCGCTACGTGCTAAATCACAAATCTCAAATATGGCCAGAAAGATTTGAACATTGGAAAAAAATGCCTAACTTTTATAAATGTTTCATCACTACATATATACATTTATATATCGACGCTTGAAAGGCAAACGTGACTAAACGACAATGCGTGAACTTTACAGTAGACTAATTTAAAGTTGAAATACCTGAAAACAATTTTTTTTAACGAATCTAGCCGTAGTAGAATCTATCTAGTAGCTGTAGGATTGAAATGATTTTAATAGACCTAGAAATATATTTTTTTTGCGCATCAAATATGGTTATTGCCTATCATTTATGTACAAAGCAGTTATTGTCGCTTAGTCACGTTTGCCTTTCAAGCGTCAATATGTAGGTATGTGTCAAGCGCGAACTGAGGGGTTTTGTTAAATATGAAAAAATGTGCAATTACATGCACTATAATAACGTTACGAAGTGTTTCCTGATCATATTCGCGATCCCATATCACACCCCGTCTACGTCATCCGTAAATGTCAATCAACACAACAGAACTGCCATTTTTTTTCTGAGTGTCTACATAATCGCATTATTTGAAAATAATGTTGTTTGTGTATTGTTTAAAAAACTTGAGCGTACAGCTCTACCTGAGTGAGCTAAACAATGTCGTTCTTTTCAGATTTACATCTAATCTGTACATTATCTGCGAGGCTCCCCGCGGCGTGGCCGCTTCATCACAAAGCAACGGGTTGACAGATCTCCACAGACGGTCATGGGCCAATAGGATTACGAAGATGTACATTTTTCAACACCTCTTTATATTTATCAAAGCATTTTGGACTTTATTTTCGGAGGCACAACATTTTTCAATCGGCAAATATAAAGTTGCACTAGCTTTTGCAGCTGTCGGTAGATTTTCCACAGTTTTACGGAATTAAGTTTTAATCACATTAGAAACGAACCGTTTGCGCATTGAGGAAATAGGTTTATATACTCAGTTTAGACTTCTTAGCTTCATTATACCGAGCAATAATAATGCAATGAGATTAATGCATTATCCAATTTTTTATTTTCGTATTGTTAGTTACACGGTTTGTTCTGAACAGTTTAATAAAGGTAAAAAGTATTTAAGCAACTTTTAAATAACAGATACGAAATACCTTTTACATCTTCAGTTCCATAGTTTTATTAAAAATGTACTTTTACGACGTTGTAATAGCATCGTGTAAATCATACTCGCAAAAAAAAGATATGTTAATTACTGACGGTATTACAAGGCTGTACTAATTGCTACCTATTTCTATTACTATGTAGCAGTAGTTCCTACTGTTAGTGCTGCGATCCAGTTTAAAATTTAAGACAGTCGTTTATTGTTTTATTTCGGTTTCGACCTCACGTCTCAAGGTGGGTGGCGTAACCATTTAATAGTTCGTTGGCTACCCCCTCCGCCTAGTGCACAAAAAAATACATATTTATGTGTATTTTAATCCGAAACATTCCGAGCTAAGCTAAATTAGCAAAGCAACGAATGCTATTTTCGCGTATATTTAGTATTATAAATATTTATGATTTTGTTTCTAAGATTTTTATAATTGATATTTTAAAAGCAAAAATATAGCACGAATAAATTTTTGCTTTTAATATTATTCTTTTTTTTTTATTGCTTAGATGAATGGATGAGCTCACAGCCCACCTGATATTAATTAGTTACTGGAGCCCATATACACCTATAACTTAAATGCGCCACCCACCTTGAGATATAAGTTCTGAGGTCTCAAGTATAGTTATAACGGCCCCCCCACCCTTTAGACCGCAACGCATTACTGCTTCACGGCAGAAATAGGCAGGACAGGCATATTCGTCTCGTAGTTCTTTTTTAAAGCCCGCCTTTATGTTGGTATGTAACAGAATTATTGACGTTATTTTTGGCGACTGTAAGACGTTCCAGTAGCTCCAAAATTGACACACGCATCAGGAACACACGCACAGGTGACCCTTCAAATATTTTATAAGTTCACTCTAACATTCTGAGCAGTAGCGATAAGATAAAAAAAAAAAGAGACAATGAAAACAATTGTTCGGTTTGCTATTTAAATGTGTTTCTTTCAAGTTTTTAAATGAAATATTATAATAATGGGTTCTTCATTCGTATGACACTTTATCATAAATGTGAAGAAACGGACGACTTAATATTCTGGTTCTTTTTTTTTAATTACCATTCTGGACAGGCGAGCATACGACCCACCCAACGGTGAATGGTGACGTCAGCAATGACAGGGACAGAGCTAAGCCACTGTCTACAATTACAAGCAGCCAGTAGAACTGATGGCATTATGATTACCACCGCCCAGCATCAGAGTTTCAGTCATCTCGGCTTTGAGGTGCTAGTCGCAGGCGTTGCAGGCAAGGCAAGGTATAAATAGCATCAAGATACGATGCACGGATCATATCATAAGAGTCTTAGTATCATTTAATGCATTGACTTCTTGATTGCGAAGCGTCATTTAGGTACTTTAAATAATTAAATAATTAAAAAATAGAAAACGATGCTTATCAATTGACATGATTAAATTCTGTGGAGTTAAAAATATTATTTTAGTTCTTGATATTTATTTATCGTATTACATTACCGATGCTGTACGTAGTGAATTGAATAGTTCATAAAATGTCTTACAAGGAATAAAATACAATTTCGTTCAAAGAGAATAAATGTGAACAAATTGTAAATGCATTTAGAGCCTTTTTTATTTTATGTAGTATTTTTATTTTATGACATGCAATCAATAATTTTTAAAAAGCTTAAAAATAAACCTTTTAAAAAAAAAAAAAAAAAAAAAAAAAATAGAAACATAAATCCCTAGTGATTATTGGCACTACAACATTATTTATAAGAAGAGCATGTTGGTAATCTAAATTCTTGTAGAGTATCCGTTCTACACGACCTCTATCGATATAGTGTCATTATATTACTTACCCCATCTTGGTTCGATATTATACGACCCTTCGGCGGCCGTCCTTTTTGTACTTATCTTGCACCCTCCGTGTGAACTCTAGGGCGTTGACTCCCCGAAATAGAGATTCGGCAGGTGGAAGAAATATATAGTTATATAGTCACAG